TAACTATAATCTCTGCTTCATTATGTGATCTTTTAGAACTCTTATGTCACATGTGTGCACAAAACACACATACTGTCAGTCAGACTCAGAAAGTTGAGACCATACATGGAAGATCATGCAAATTACCCTATCAAAACTGTAGGTTCTAGTCTCAGGCCCTGCTTTGCCACATGCCTGTGAAAAGGGATATGTGAAGCTGCTTGGAGCCATGCCTAGGTTAAGCAGAACATACCCCTAAGCTCCTAAGGTGACTGTTCTGCTACTGGTACTGAAGCTATCCCAGGTATCTCTGCATAGTTCTATATTTTTCTGCTTAAATCTTTGAGTCTGAATATGAGTCCATGTTTGTAGATCTGAAAGTCCTTGTTTTAGTTCCTGCTAACAGTGTTGATAGATCGGTAGGCACTGCTGAGCAGCTCAGAATGGATACAAACCCCCTGGTGTGCTTTCCACCACTATCATTCAGGCAGTATTAAATGTCAGTGGTTTCCTTTGTGGGCTGGTCCTCTTAGCAGCTGACTTAGGAAGTGGTACCATTTCTCAAGCTGTAAACTTTGATAGTGATAGTGATGCTGGCATAGCAAGGGTTTTGTGTGTTTGTTTACAACACAGCAAACATAGGAAGGAAAGCTGTAGTGGAGCTCTGGCCTCTGAAAGTAGTTTTATCTAACCACCTCAGGGTAGTATGGAACTTCCTATCTACTGTGTTGCCATGGTAAGCAGGGGGTCATGTCTTGTTCTGCACACTGTGTCCTCTGAGAACACAGGAACTTTAATAATTCGCCTTCTCAAGTGGATGCAATCTTTGAAGTAAGAGCTTGGTCCTCTGTCTTTGTTCTGGCTTTCTACAGCATCTTTACATAATTTGTACTAAATGTCTCTTGTTTTAGGAAGGCCAGAGATTACGGCTTTTCAGCTCCTTACTAATCCAAGCCTAGCCAAAACAGAAAGAAGGCGTTGAAAGGAAGTGGTGGCTATCATTCCTTTGGCTAGGTTAAAGTTGTGAGAAGAGTTCATATTTTGAGATACTTTGTTCCAGTCATGGCCCCAAAATATTCCAGTAAAACAGCTTGATGTTGTTCGCCTAATGATTTCTCCAGAAGAAATATGTTCATTGCTGTAGGAAGCAAAGGACTTTTATGATTTTTTTTTAGTTTATTCTCTAAATTCTACCCATAATGTTTTTGAAACATTTATGAGTGACAATAATTGAGGAATAATGGTAGTGTCTTTCATAAACTAATTATCTCAGCAAGGTAGATGATTCGAATTCTTCTTTAAACTTTTGCAGGCCTTGTGACCTTGAACAGTAATTGTAAGTCTGGCTGTGCCAAGACAGTCTCTGCTAACCCCAGATAATTAATATGGGGTAGAAGGTTTGTCAAAGCAGTCCATTCTTCCCATTCTCACCTTAAAAATTCAGACTTTTATTTATTGATACGCAGGGACTCTTTTGTTGAGAAATCAGTTTGAATTGTAAAACTCTCCTACACAATGTTAGAGGAGTTAGAAAATTTTCAAAATACAAACAAAGAAATATTTATGGAAATAGTAAAAATTTATTCTACCTAATTATGTAAGACAAAATGACGACTAAGTCTCATGGGCGTTATTTCAGCTATTGGGCTGGTAGTTTCTTTAGATGCAAGGTGGTTTATGTCCCTTGTCTGACAAGCTCCATGAAAATATTTTTCTGCTTGGCTTAGAGTCTGAAGCACACCATAAGATAGACAGCTGAAGGGAAGGCATCCAAAGGAACCCCAAGAACAGTTCCTGAGCAAGAGATAATAGTGGCAGCCAGAATTGTCCACTGCTGCATTGCAAGACAGGATGAAGCATGCCATTGGGCTCCAGAGGGACCTGGCAAGTTATCTCCAGTTTCTTCCACAGCCAGGGGTTTGCTGCGTTACCCTAATCTACAAGTACTACTTGATTGGCTTGAAACCTGCGTGTACATCAGAATCTGGCATTTGGTTTTGCTTGGCTTATGTTTGTGATCCAAACAGGAAGTCTTCAGATGCATTTTTGTGCAAAGAGCCTCAAACTGCATTCCCTGCCCATAGCACATCCTAGCTTTTTTCTCTTCTGCCTGAACTGCTGGAAGTCACAAGGGAACATGGACATCCACAGATCAGCCATGTCCCTTAGGTTTACTTAGGTGTGGGAGGCTCTGCATATGACACTTAAACTGTGGTTCAACGCTGGTAGTGTTGAATGGCAAAATGACCAGGCTGGCACCAAACATTCTGTATCATGAATCTGTACACAGTTGTCCACATACAGCCCCCCCAACTTCTTCATATAGAAAGTCTTGTTCTTGTCGTAGAGTCATAGAATGATTTAGGTTGGAAAAGACGCCTAAGATCATCGAGTCCAACTGCAAACCTAACACTGCCAAGTATACCACTAAACGACATCTGCAAGTGCCATGTCTACAGAAATTTTTCCTAATATCCAATCTAAACCTCCTCTGGCACACCTTGACATTATTTTCTCTCATCCTTTCTCATTACTTGGCAGAAGACACCAACCCCCATGTCACTACGACCTCCTTTCAGGTAGTTGTAGAGAGTGATAAGGTCTCCCCTCAATTTCCTTTTCTCCAGGCTAAGCAACTCCAGCTCCCTCGGCTGCTTCTCACAGGACTTGTGCTGCAGACCCTTCACCAGCTCCATTGATTTTTTTTTTTTTTTAGGATGTGCTCCAGCACCTCATTGTTCTTCATGTAGTGATGGACCCAAAACTGAACACAGTATTTGAGATGTGGCCTCACCAGTGCCCAGTACAGGGGAAGGATCACTTCCCTCTTCTACTGATCACATTATTTCTGATACAGGCCAGGGTGCTTTTGGCTACCTGGACATACTGCTGGTTCATACTCAGCCAGCTGTTGACAATCTTTACAACTTAGTTTTTGGCCTATTCAAAATAAAATAAAAGAAAAGAAAATAAATGTAAATGTCTGCAATCTTTTTCTTTCTCTTTTTAAGATAAACGTATGACTTTCTACTCTTTGCAAGAAATCTAACTTTCTTCAGTGGTATATTTGGATTTTTGGACCTGCTCCCAAAAAACTAATTCATAGAAGTGGTATTTAAATAGTGTTCTGTAGCTGCTCTCTGCCTGTAAATAAATGTCCCTTCATAGGGCTAGCAGTGTGGCAATGAAAAACAAGATTTCCGCAAATAATATTCTAAAATTTCTACAAACAGTACTTCTGTGTTGCGTCACACAGGCTGTTTGTCAAGAGTCTTGGCTTAATTTGGGTAAAAGCAGGTATGTACTATCCAGATCCAATTTGTAGAACTCTGCTACGAAGTATTTCTGGAGAGGAGACTTTCATAATGGAAAGAATTCACAGAATCACAGAATGTTAGGAGTTGGAAGGGACCTCGAAAGCTCATCCAGTCCAACACCCCCACCAGAGCAGGATCACCTAGACTGGGTCACACAGGAACGTGTCCAGGCGGCTTTTGAATGTCTCCAGAGAAGGAGACTCCACAACCTCTCTGGGCAACCTGTTCCAGTGCTCTGTCACCCTCACAGTGAAAAAGTTTTTCCTCATGTTCAGATTGAACCTCCTGAGCTCCAGTTTGCTCTCATTGCCCCTTGTCCTATCATTTGACATCAGAGAGAAGAGCCTGGCTCCTTCCTCCTGACACTCGCCCTTTACGAATTTAGAAACATTCATGAGGTCACCCCTCAGTCTCCTCTTCTCCAAGCTAAAGAGACCCAGCTCCCTCAGCCTTTCCTCATAAGGGAGATGCTCCACTCCCTCAATCATCTTTGTGGATCTGCACTGGACTCTTTCAAGCAATTCCCTGTCCTTCTTGAACTGAGGGGCCCAGAACTGGACACAATATTCCCAGATGCGGTCTCACCAGGGCAGAGTAGAGTGGAAGGAGAACCTCTCTGACCTACTCACCACCCCCCTTCTGATACACCCCAGGATGGCATTGGCCTTCTTGGCCACAAGGGCACATTGCTGGCTCATGGTCATCCTGCTGTCCACCAACACCCCCAAGTCCTTTTTGAATTGGGTATTTACAGTGATTATCATGAAGTCCTTAGTTTATTATGTAGGAAAAAAGGACATTAAAGGCTATGTATCCAGAGCCCTTACACTGAGGAGTAAGCAGTCTGTTAGCAAATCAGCTTGGGAGGAAACTGATCTTTGGACAGGCAGCTTATGCCATTGGAGGCTTTCTTACCTCTTTCTCCAGTTTCTGGGAGACCTCTGCTCCAATCTGATTTGGCGGTTGATATATTCCTAGAAGCATTAGCTCAGATGTCCAGTATCTGGTTATAGACAAGTGGAAAGAGATCTGTCTAGGTAATGCACTTCCATTAGGCAAGTGTCAGGTACTAAGAACACCTTAAATTATGTTTTAATTTTGTTGTGGACAACTTGATCTTTGTTGTGCTGTACCAATTTGTTTATAGAGAGAATTCAGCTTTGTTAAAAATTTTGGACATCTAATGCAGAGCCTGTGTTATTTTTCAGCCAGCTTTCTAACTTCAGTAGTTTGGTTCCTTTGTTCTTCTCCCTGAAGTCTGTAGACTGGTTGTATTTTTAAAACACACACAAAAAGAAAAGGCACTTAAATGTTTTATTTCTCTAATGAATGTTGTCTTATGCAATGTTCATGCACTAAAAATGATCAAGAAAAAGCATAGTGGAGTAGCAAGGGAGGGTGGCTTCCAAGTGCTTTGTGTGCTTCTCTCTTGCGCTGCATTGTGAATTAGCCTTTTCCACTTGAATACACCGATGCTGGAAGACCCAAAGCTAGATGGAGAGTGTCATTCTGTTGCATGGGAGCCTGTGCTGGGCTTGATTCACCATTCTATTACAGGAGGAACTGTAGCATAACTTTGTGGTAACAACATGAGGAGCTGCAGAAGAAAGACCTAGATCAGTTTTAATACTGTTTGCAAAGAATAGGAATATTTTATTTTTATTTTTTTCCCCCATCAGTCCTTTCTTTTTTTCCTCTCAACAGGTTCCACTCTGTGTAGCTATGAACTACAGCCATCAGAATACACTACAGATCCAAGGGCTGGCAAGCTATGTCCTAAATATCCTGTTCCAGAGAGGTAATACTAACATCTTGTCTGATTGGGGGTGGAGGGAGCAGAGATCTCTCTTGTTCTTGTCAGTTCTTGTGAAAATATGCAGCACAGACTTACTCTGTCCTACAGGTGGATGTTTCAATGTATTATTGCCATATGTTTTTAAAACATTGCGAAAGCAACTCTTTAAGAAAAACCAAAACTATCCATACATGTGTTACTGAGGTTATTGAGCTGGTATCTTTGAGTTCTCTTCCATGTCATGTAACTGACATGTAACTGAGAATCAGCTGTTTTACTGCCTTTCACTGCTTAGCCAGCTGCCTGTCAGCAGATTGGAGGCATTTATGGAGCACTTTGGGTCTTTGTGAGGAAAAAGGATATACTGACACACAGCTCTCTGCAGTGTTCCCTTCTTGTACCTTACCTCAGTCAGTCAGATTTAGCAAATTGCTTCATTTTTTATTCTCTCAGTCCCCAAACTACTTAATACGAGGATGGTCAAGTACCAAAAAGAGGGTTGTATTTTATAAACAGATCAGTTTGAATTTTATTGTTTAAAATATTATGAGACTGCTTTTTGTGAGTCAGGATAGAAGAGTTTGTAGCTCCAGAAACTCTGCTAGCTGTGCTGACTGAAACTGAGGAGAGGAGCATGGCTGAGGAAAAAAGTGATCTGTTTGCCATTGTGCACACCATTTTGTCAGTAATTCCACTTACTCAAGAAGAATCATGTTGTCTTTTCTCAAAGTTTAGCTTCTCAAACGTACTCAGTAGTGGGTTGTAACTGCAGACTCTTTGGCTGCGCACAGTTTTCTGTTGTGGCTTTATTAAATGTTATAATTGTGTCAGTTCTAAAACCTCTCATTTTAAGTCTCTCTTGTCTGCATGGTAACCTCTCCAGGGAATATTTCTTTTAATATTGTAGTGACAATCAGTAGCAGCTGGAATATTAACTTTTTTTAAACTTTTCCCCACAGCAGGTTAATATTCCATGCAGCTAACCAGCAGTTATAGTGGTAATACAGAAACAAATGAAAACTTCAGTGCCAGCTTGCATACTGAAAAGCCTTGTCAGTCTTCGTTTTTGCCAGAATTACATTGACTTTTCTTACTGTGTGTTCCCATGTCATTCAGTCTGAATGAATTTAGATTAATTAAGAAAACAAGGATAGAACGGTTTGCCAGAGCTTTAATGACAGTATGTAAATTCCTTACAAAAACCTCAAGTTATTTTTGAAAAGCTATTGTGTAGGTTGAGTATTTCCACTTTTTTATTTGGTATGAATAAAATGTACAATATGTTTGAATATTTTTGAGATTGAAAAGTCTGAACTTAATGCCCTAAGGCAAAAAAGGCCAATATTGTATCTGTAAACCACTCTGTTTTTCAGATCTTTTTATTGTTAAATTATTTGAGTAAATTAGTGTAATTTGGAGGGAAAATTGAATTCTGTGGAAATAAACAAATGAAAACTCAATGCCCTGTAGACTGAGGCATTCAGGGAGAACTTAACCTAACACTACTATGCTCAGGTTTGATCTGTCAGAGTTATGAACCATCATCTGAAATTCATTAGGTCCATGGGATGGAGGAAGCATATGCTCTGTGGACCATCACTCAGTGTTTTCTGTTTGATGACCAGGCCTCTGTGAGCATGACTTTGCTGTTCAGAGGAAAACCTACCCAGCTTTTCCCTGCAGCATTTATCTGTCAACTGGCTGTGCCAAGGGACTGCCCTGTAGAGGTTATAAAGGGCAGCTAGCAGTGGCATTCGAACTATCTGCCGCACACAGGTTGATGTATATGCCCACATGTAGTAGTGAGAGGAAAAAGTTCTGCTCTGAAATCTAGTACTTAAACAATCAGATGAGTCTCTTTACTTCATTTGAAGATTGCTTTAAAAATAGTTTTTAACACCATCGTCTGCCAGCTTTTTACTCGCTCTTGCTCATGATTAAGCATCATGTTGTTATTCTCAGAAACTTGTGATTCCATTTCAGTATGTAATATACCAACTTACAATCAAGAGGCCATATAAAGTAGCACAGGTTGCAGAGAATTGACCTATTACTATATTTTTTTATTAAACAAGACAATTTACCTTGCCTACTTATTCAGTCAGAACCACTGAAAGAGCAGCAGATCTTAAAAGGTGGATTTTCAGGAATTCCATTTACTCTAGAAAGCTTGTAGGAATCACTAACTTATTTTTTTTAAACTAATTACAATAAAATTAGAAAATAATTATTGCACATGAAAATAGGTAACTTAAAATGCGGAGTGAAATTGCTATAGCTTAAGGGACATTAGATGAGTAATATAAACTTTGGGATGCAAAATGCATGTTTTCCTTTGTTGGGATGTATTCTGGAACAGTATTTTAATCCCATTAGCTTCCCTTTTCAAAATGGGTATTTTTGTATTTTGATGCAAGAATGACAGTCTTTTGCCTACTCCCAGCTCAGAATTAGAGCCTTGTTACTAATATTAACCACTTCTAAATGCTCTAGGTTTTCTACAAAGTTGGAGCAGTTAACAAATAAATCTCTCAAATTTCAGTCTTTTCCAGTATTACTGCATATAATGACCTGCAGTATGTTGCATATTCCAAAATAGGCTGTGTTGTAAGAGGCTGAGAGGATACATGGGCTGCCTTTTAAATAGGGCAGCCATTATTACAGGTTTAATTTGGTTTTTGACTAGTTCACAGTTACTTTGCTGTGCTTAACTGCTGTCTTCATCATTACCCAAAAGCAGACCATCAAGATGAGCATTTCCAAATGCATTTACCTACTCAGCACAGTAATTTAAAACCATATAATTTACAATCATCAGTCACTTAAAACAAAAGCCTAGCATCTGCTAATTACCTAGGTATGGCAGGTGATCATAATTTCTCCCAAATTCTGTGCAGAACAATTACACACTAATGTTTTTGAGCATGTCATCTTCTTTTCCCTAAAAACAATGCAGAGAAAGGGTGTGCCTAAGGCAGCTGGTTTACTCACTACATGTTTAAAGTGATGGTTAGAATTTTGGAAAGACTTGGGCTTAACAGATAGTTATTGAGTACAGAAAATTGCTGGTTTATAGGTCATTGCTGAAACGGGAAAACTGCAAAAGATTATGTGCATGGCTGCTACAGTCCACTGAAATCTTTTAAGTAAGGAAGATTGGGCAGGGTGAAACAAATATAGAGGTTAGAAGAGAAGACTGACAATATGAAAGACACTTCTTTCATTGGATCCAATTACAGGAAGGAACATGTAATTCATGGAACATGTGTCTGAAGTGTAATTGGGAAGATAGATCAAAAGATGTAATAGGCCACTTTGAGATCTGACATAGTTTATGAGCAAGAAAGGCAGCTACTTAATGGGAAACATTTGGAAAATAAAATTACCCACTTTTAAAGTGAAGTTTTTGCTCTCTTGTGTCTTCCTCTGATGGATTTGATAACAGGTTCTGCTGAACGTTCTGCAAGGTTTAATGTGTAGCATCAGTATTTTTGGGGAGAATGCTTCCAAAACAGTTCAGGAATAATGAAACAATAAAGGCATCTTTGCATGTGTTGCAAAGAATGTAGTGCTTAATTTTAACAAAGTTAATTAAAGTAAACACTGTGATTGTAATCTTAGATATAAAAGCAAGTTTAGTATAGGGAAGGACTAAGAATAACTACATCGGTTTTGTTTGGCAGCAGTTTTAAGTGCTGATGTCTCTTAGCATAAAATGTATGCTTGCAGGAAGAGTATTGTCTTTCTGGAATTTCTTTTGCTGCAAGTATGGGCCAGTATTCCATTCTAACATGAGTGAAAAGAATTGTTTCAGCTGCTGGTTCACCACCTGATACTTGAATGAGAGACGTTTAAGTGGGAATAGGAACCTGTACTTTCTGAACCTTGGTGCTTAAGGGTGGGAGGGTAATCATTTCCTATTGGACTGTGCACCCCAGCCTCACAGGGTTACTTGTAAGAATGGCATCACTTCCCATTATTATCATCCTCATTCTAGCAGCACTTGTGCATTCAACACATGGTTTCTGGTTATGATGTTACAAGGGTGGAATGGTTGCATCTATTCACCTTTCATTTGTGTGTTGATGTGGCATTTATATTAAGTAGGAGTAATTTTTTTTTCTGATTTTTTTTTCTTGTGTCACCAGTGCACCTATTCCATTCTTCCATCGCTGTGCTCCTGTGAACATTTCCTGCTATGCCAAGTTTGCAGAGGCCCTGATCACCTTTGTCAGTGACAGTAGTGTCTTACACAGGCTGATTAGTGGAGTTATGACCAGCAAAGAGATTATAATGGGACTTTGCTTGTTATCACTAGGTAATTGTTTTTCTCATTACTAGCTATTTCTTAGTACTGCATTAGGAGATTGTTAACAACCTCTAACCACAATATAAGCAAAAATATGTATGATAGCAATGAGCCCTTAGAAAATGGTTCAGAATGCTTTTTTTCTTAAATTTATTTGACAGCTGGGTAACTTATTGAGAAGCATATATATATATATATATATATGACTTCCTGTTTTTTCTCCTCTTCCACTGATTATGAGGTAGCGGATGTGTGGCTGTTGATTAGCCAACATTAGTTTTGGTATAGTTAACAGAGCATCCCCATTCTCCTAATTTTTGTTATAATATTCCCCTTTCCTATTTCTGATATTAATCTTCTGATGACCCAAACCCAAATAAAAGGGACAGGGTGAGAAATGCACAACATATTTTTCTAGAATGTAGGGGGTTTAGTTTGTTTCATTTAACATACTTGTGGCAGGGATATGAGAACTTTCAGAGGGAAAACAAGAAACGTAGGTGCTCATTTGTTGTATTGTATGTTACCCCCTTCTTCCCTTACCCCGAAAATTAAGAACTTCAGGCCTTTGAAAATCTCAGCCTTCTCTGAAGAGCTGGAAATTACCAGCAGTATAGAGGTGCTGAATCGTTTCTAGAGTTGCAATATCCCCCTAGGCTAGAAAGTGGCACATTGCACTAGACTGAAGTGCGGTTTTAACAAAGTCTTATGAATTACAGTGGAATGCTACTCACCCCCATAAATTACTTTCCTAATGAGTCTGTTTTACTCCTATCAAGTGTAAAATCTGAAATCCTAAAATGAGAGGATCCAGATACTAGCCATGTATATGAGCAGTGTGTGGTTTAGAAAGAAACACTGCAAAGCTGTACCAGATAAAGAAGTCCTTTCCTTTCAGTCTGTCTTTGTGGTTTAAAAAAAAAATCTATAAGAAAAATGCTAGATAGCATTAAAAAAAAACAAACACAAAATACAATTGATTATCCTTTCAACTATAACTGGAAAGCTGTTTATTATTCTATCTTGACAGCTGTGGTATTTAATAACAATAGAAAGGCAGTTCTGAATCTGAAAGCTAGGGGCAGATTAGCAGTGCTGCTGTTTGGTTGGAGTCAGAAGTTAGTACAGAGTTTTACGTACTGTTAATTTAAAAAAAAAATTTTTGTACCTTCATAGGTTAACGAAGTTAAACAGAATTTATTTATTTTAAAACAATGGATAAGATTGTGTGATTCAGAAAGCCAGGTTCCCCTGGCTTTCGTGTAACTGCTATACACAAATACGCATATAGAAAAAATGTGTGTGTGCACTTACACACACCACTCACTACATCTTAGTTGGCTGAGATTGTAGAGAGCTTTTTAACATGTAGTTCCTGAATGGTAGCGGAACTATATGAACAAAGCTTGTTAAAGAACTCATTTTGAATGTTGAAAATAAAGTCATAATTTTTTTACTTTTTACTGGCATGACATTTTGGGATATGCAGGCATCGCATTATCTGCACTTGTTTGACACATGTGTTTGAGTGCAAATTCTGCTCTGGTCCTCATGAGGTGTGCTCAGGTTACCAGAGTCGGAGTACTGTCATGTCTTGCTGTCTGTTTTGTCATTGTCTAAATACATCTCTATCTGTATGTATGCATTATGTCTTGTATTTAATGTACCATGTAAATGTATTTATGCTCTTTGTTTTAATTAACAGCATCAAAGCAGAAGTTGTAGAGGTGTCTGATTTCCTTAGCTGTCTGTGCAGTGAGCTTGTAAACCTCAGAAAAGAAATCTCTGTCTAAAAATTCCGTTGAAAGGCAGTTATCTTAGTGCAGTGGGAGAATTGGGAGAGCTATTTCTACTTGAAATAATTGGTCTGCTTAATTTATTTGTTTTCTTTTGCAGTGTTGTCCATGATTTTGATGGTTATAATCAGGTACATTTCAAGAGTACTTGTCTGGATTTTAACAATTCTTGTCGTTCTGGGATCACTTGGTAAGTCTTGTTTGTCTCCCAGTTCCTGAGTGCCTAATTCTAATCTTTGTGCTCCGTGGCCAGCTGCATCCTGCACAGGTCTTGGACCATGCATTTCCCTTCAGCTTTCCTTTGTGTCCTTTGCAAGACACATCAAAAATGTCACCTTTGTAATTGTGGTTCTCTCTTAGAGAGTACATTGCTCCTTAGAGATTTTCTGCACGCCGTGCTTGGCTGACAAGCTTCCTGTCAGCCTATCTCACTAGAGCCCACACAGGCAATATGGGATATTTCTCACAGCGCTTGTAACACAGCTCTAAAGGTTGCCTGCTTCTTAACCTGCCTTCCAGGCATGTTAGCAAGGCAGATAATTTGGGTTTGTCTGAGGACACACCCTCCCACTGGGTGTACTCAAACATGCAGCAATCAAAGAGCAACTTGTTTATGCAGCCTTAGGGAACCTTAGGATATAGATGTGTCCATACAACACTGACATGTTCTTCAGCCCCTTCAGCTTTCCCAGTAGCTCTGTAGGTATGTCTAAGACCTGTTCTTGAGGAAAGGAAAACAAAGGTGCTTTTCTAGTATTTCTAATCAAATCCTTGTTTTGTCATATGACTCAAAGTCCTGCATGACCTAGGTCATGGATGAAATGCAACCAGCCATGCTGTCTTGGGAATGGCCAAAGATTTTCTCATCCAAAATTATATAGCTTGCACGAAAATAGCCTTACTTTATCGCATTAACTTTTACATTTGTGAAACTAAAATCTGATACTCAGTAGCTAAGCCAAAACGTATGGGCAGATGACTGTAGGGAAGGAATAAAAATAGAATAATCAAATTAGGAAGCACTAGCGGTTTTAATTCTTGCAATTCATGGCTGCAAGGGATGGAAAAAATCAGCAGACTGACTATATTTTTTCAGGATCACTTGTTTTTTCTACTTGCTGGTCTCAGGACCACAGACAAGGAAAAAACCAGATATATATTTTTTTATTTCTTCATTTATATTCTCTTTAGAAGCTAAGCAACTGTGTTGAGTGGAAGAGTTGAATGGCTTATCTTATTGCCATCTGTTATTATGTTCTAAAAAATCACATGCATTACACAGACTGAATAAGAACATGTCATTTGTGAGACATGCTGCTTATTCTGTATTCACTGTTTGTTTTGGAGATACCAAAAGAGCATCCTCCATTTTAGACTTGAACAGAGGACCTTCAGCAAAGTCTTGTGATCTCTAGATAAGCTTACACAGTTGATTCAGAAATAACAGCAGAACAGAGAAGGCTTCTCAAAAGAGAGAAAAAAAAATGTGTCACAAGGGAGAGGTTATCTCCCTGAGAAACTGGAGTGCTGTATTTAAGAAAAGTTCTGCCTTGGAAAGGGAGCTAGAATAGGAGAATGTTGTTCTGGCTGTAAGGCTAGGTTTTCATAACAGGGGTTAGAAGAAAGTACCTCATGTTATATTTGCCTCCTGTGCCTTTCACTGATGTTTTTTCCAGTGCCAGAAGACACTGCCTCATGCAGGTGTAGCTATGTGTCATTAAGCTGAGGTGCTGTTTTCAGCATTAGGGCTGTTCCTTCTCTGCTTGATTAGTCTTTCTGGAAGTTCTAGACTCCTCCTTTTGTTCCTCTTGTTACTTTGCATCCTAATCCAAAGGTTCCACTAGTCCTCTCTTCCCCCTCCTAAATTCTTACCCCTTATTATACACATATGCACATACATCCTACCGTATGACTGTTGTTCTTTCTGTTCCTCTATTGCCTGTCAAATGGGAGCTGTGATCTTGTTAGGCCTCCCCCTGAACTAGTCCTTTCATGTACTTCACCCTAAAACACAGAGTCAAAGAGCTGCAAGTCTCTTTAGTGGTCATAGTGGTGTGAGACCGAAAAGAGTGTATCTGCTTGAGAAGAGGGCAACAGGGAAGAACTAAGCACTTCTGCCTCCTCACAAGTTCCTGTTGGGTTAAGCATCAGTGCCCTTGAGTATTCTGTGCCAGATCAGACCTAAAAAGAAGCAGCTGTTTAGTTTCTTTGGTACTAGGTAGTATGACTGTGTCACACAGGCAGAGCATCTTCCATTTGTCCTTTTTTCTCTCTAAAACATAGGTGGTACAGGAGTTCTGTGGTGGCTCTATGCTAAGCAACGAGTATCTGCCAGTGCTGTTGAGACTCAAATAGCCAAAGACAATCTTCAGGCTCTCCTAATCTATGCCATTTCAGCTACAGTCTTCACGGTAATGATTATATTATTTTCTTCTTCTGTCTTACTGGTGGTCTCTGTCTTTTTATTTAGTTGAAAGGTTTTTATTGCACACATTTTTTAAGAGTTTATTTCTACTGCAAGCTCTATTGCAGCGATTTGTTTGTTTGTTTACTTCCAGTCATGGTTTCTAATATCTAGTTTTGAGTCAGGAGAGAGTTCCTAATCCTGCAGCTACTCTCCTTTACTGTAAAATGCTCACAGGGACTACCAAGAATAGGTGCAATTGGTCTCCCAATTCAGTTTCACTTACATTTTTCCCTGTTCAGAGGTACTTAGTCATTTCAATTTATCTGAAAGTCTTTAGACCATTCCTACTTCTGAAATCAGTTGTTCCCAAAATTTTCCCATTTACAGAAGGATCATTGTGAACTGAAATACTAACACTTGATTACTGAACCAGTTCATCTTCTTTAGGCCTTGCTGTTCATTTTGGAATCACTGATTTTACTACTAAAAATGGATAATGTTTGACTAACTTACATGACAAGACCACCATACTATGCTCAAATATAGATGTTAAATTGTATTCTTTGTTAAATCTTGCTGGTTTCACTGGTTTGTAAAACATAACTAAGGATAGAATCTAGTCTAATCTCATCAGACTGAGGCTTATTGTGATTCTGAATACATAATTATGAGATTGGACTTCCTCAAAAGTATAGTTTGGAAAATAATATATCACCAGAAGAAGCTGATAGAGATTTGCATTTTGATCTTGTGATCTCATAGATAATGTGTTAGTTTGCTATGTTTGAATATCCTAGCTAAGCAAAATGATAGCTTGCTTATTTTTCAGTTCTCTTAAAATGTGATTTGGAAACTTCTCCCTCTAGGTTATCGTGTTATTGATAATGTTAATTATGCGCAAACGAGTAGCTCTCACCATTGCCTTGTTCCACGTGGCCGGCAAGGTCTTCATCCACCTGCCACTGCTAGTCTTCCAGCCGTTTTGGACATTCTTTGTGCTTATCCTGTTCTGGACCTACTGGATCACAGTCCTGCTTTTCCTTGGTACTACAGGTAAGCAGCTACTAGGCTTATTTTAAATACATTTAATTTCATTTTTGTATGGTTTTAGGCAAAGTTAGTTAAAAAGCATGTGGGGACCTCTAGGGAAAAGAATACAGCACCCAAAACCAAAAACCCTAATAACAACCACATATTGTGCTTCTTTTCTTGTCTGCTTCAGTGTCTTCAAAACACTTGTTTCAAGAAAGTTGTGTGTTTGAGTCTGCATTTCTGGTATGTTACTTTGAACCTTAGGCCGGCTTTCTGATTTGATGCAAGCTGGCATGTTGCAAACCACAAGACTCCATTAATAAGACTGCTATAACAATTTTTCAAATAATTTCCTCTAATACACAAACAGATTAAAAAGTCTGATCTTGCAGCTAACGTCATAAGGGTGGTGTATTATAGCTGATGAAGACATAGGAATGATGGGGCTGTTGCACACAATTACTGTTTCCTAAAATGTAAATATACTGGAAGTAGTTTTCAGTTGTTCATAATTTAGGTGTCCGGTATTATTATAGCATTTTCCAGGATTATTAGGGAGATTTCTCTCTGTACACTGTATTCTGAGAGCAGCCAATGTACTCTTAACTTCTGCCTGCTGTGAAGAGCATAGAAGATGAGAGTTTTGTTTGTGTTCAGGGTCTGACAAGAGCTTCTAGAATTAGTGGATCCTATAGGTCAAAATCTTTTTTACTTCAGCAGAGAAACCTAACAACTGCTTTTGAAAAGGGGAGATGTCTGTGTTACTTTTTTCTTTAGTAAGCTGTAGGCAACAGAGACCGTAATTCGTTATTAAAACCTTAGAATTTTGAAATTCATTGTTTACTATCAGTTCAAAAGTGGCAGTGTTTCAGGTCACAGAACTATTTCAGGATAATACAAGATAAGTATTTTTTATTTCATAGCCTGATTTTTTAGTGAGGTAATAAAATACTTCTGTTCTTGTTCTCATTACTGTTGAAATTTTTAGTTTTTGTTATATGCTGTGCTATGTGCAGAAAATGTTTACCTCTGAAAGTGAGTTAAGACTCAGTCCCATGTGTCACTCCATGAATTAAAAACCATTGCAAAGAAACTAAATTTTTCGCAGAATTTAGGCTGATACTGTATTTTACTGAAAAGTCTTCAAATGGCCTTGATTCTGCAAAGACTAATTTTTGCTTTTAGCTTTATACACACTCAGTGTATTTACTGATATCAGTTAAACAAAATCTTTGTGCAAGCAGGGCTAGATCTTTTCAATCCAAACCAGAACTGAAAAAGTGTACATTGTCTGTGTATGAGAAGAAGGCTGCACTTATGAAGAGCTTGTTCACTAAAACCAAAGTTATTTCAGTAGTTAAATTTCTTCACAAGAAAGTACTATTTTTTATATAAGCATAAAAGTATAGCTAAGAAGGTGGAGAAGGTGCTAGCAATGCTAAGTGAAGACAATAGGAGGGTAAGCAGTTTATACAGGTGATGTTATTTTCAGTATTTTTCTGAATCTTGCCAGCTGTTTACATTACTGTTTTGTGAGGTGAAACATCTCTATGTGGGTTAACACACAGAAGTAGAGCATATCCTAGGAGAGTTCTGACGTGTGCTGTCAATCTCAGTAGTGATGTCACTATTCAGATTAGACATAGAGTCAATGGATTTCTGAATGTGTGAAATCATATGTTTAGAACCTCTAGTATTGCTCCTTATGTCTGTAAATGCCTTTAAAACTACAGATATTGTTGAAATACATGCACAGAGACTTACCATAAGGAAAACCAAAGTGATTGTTAATATTGACATCTAGATGTAAAGGGCTGTGACGTTTAATACTGATTTTCTTTATTCTTACATTACATTATGTATGAATACTATCAGCACAGCAGCAGACTCAAATTAAGAATGGCTGAAACAGGCTTCTGTTGTATTTAATGATAAGAATTTTTGCTACTTGATGGTGTTTAGTTCTGAAAATATTTAACATGTGGCTGAAAATTAAGTGTTGCAGGGTTTTGAGTATGCTCAGAATTATTTTTTAGGGCTTTTTTCAAATGCCAATATACTGTCTCAAAAGCTGTATCTTATGAACAATCTTCTGAAACATGACATTTAGATCTATTAGTAGAAGCTTAGAGGGGTTCTGCTGTAGACTGTTATGGGCTGCTAATACCATATAATTCCTTCTTTCTGAGTTGATGTAAGCACCACTTCCTTTTTTACCCTCATTTATTTCTAGGTAGTCCTGTCCCAAATGAAGAAGGATTTGTTGAATTTCGGATGGTGGGTCCTTTGAAATACATGTGGTGGTACCATGTAGTGGGACTCATCTGGATAAGCGAGTTTATCCTAGCCTGTCAGCAGATGACAGTAGCAGGGGCTGTTGTGACATACTATTTTACAAGGTAAGGACAACTTAGACAGCTCTTCTGTGAGTAGACTGGAAATGGAATTAGCAGAAATAATGAGGGACAGAGCTTTTGAGGAGAATACTTGCTTCTGCCCTGAAAGCTGGAAAGCAGTTGAGTTGTATTTTAAATAATGCCTAGTCATACAATAATCTGTTTTACTGGTTATACTTTTATTCTTGATACTCAGGACTTGAAGTCTTGTTTGCCTTGTAACCTTTGCATATTGTACAGACATGGGTGGTTATTTACAAAGCAGGATGCACCTGGAAAATAGTCTATGAAGCAATAGATGCTAATAATTGATGCTAATAAGCTCAGTAAAATTTTAAAAAAATATTGAGAGCAATTGATTATTATTTTAATTGCAGAACAATGCCCTTTAAATTATTTACAGTGCTTCATTAATCTCTTACACAAAATTACTTAAGGTGTTACTAGATTTGTTACTTACAGATTCTGACAAGATCATGTACAAATAAAAAGTGATACAAAATATATATGCATTAAAGCTCCATATATTATTGCTATATTTGTGTACTAAATTGTTTATCAGAGCATACCTTGCACTTCCTTTAAGCTGTATTTTAAAAATTGGAGTTTGAATGTGTGCAGATATTTAAGTACATAATTCAAATCACAAGTATTTAATTTGTTTGTGTTTTTAATTGAGACTATTATCTGAATTAGAGATTATCTGAATTATCTGAATTATTTGACTCCCTATCTGCCCTAGTCTTTAAAGCAATATAAAAGGCAATGAATTTAGTGTACTGACAAAAATTCTGATACTTTATTAAGTCCTGCAGTATACCAATGAAATACATCTGTGAAGTTTTTAAAAGATGTTGCAGGGATGCAGTCTTGTGAATAATCAAACTAGATTGAGTAAAGAACTAGGAAAATAGAGAGAGGACAACTTCACATTGAAATAGATTGCTTAGCAATGTGTATGCTTCGTCTGTAAGTTAATGTATTTTCCATCTCTTGAGGGTGAATGATTATTCTTGTAACTATACCCTATCATTTCATAACAGGAAATTTATTTTAAGTCAGTAAATGCCTATTTCTCCCTACTGTTACAAATGTTATTACATTTTAAGGTACAATTCTAATCAGAAAAGTATGCTAGTAAGAAAGGAAAGAGCTTTAATTTGGACTTCCCCATTATTTTGCATATTATCAGCTTTCCACAGCAAATGAGATGAGGTTATGCATGGAGAAATGTTTTATATATGTTCACTGTCCATTCACCTTAGCCAGGTGGATTCCTTTCTACTCGAACAATAACAGACCTCAAGAGGTTCTGGATTACAGACTCTACCCTCAGTTAAATTTACCTTAAAAGGAGGAAGAGGTTGAGTTGCCTGGGTGTAAGGCTCAGACCTATTACATGATTGTGCTCAAAGGGGAATAGAATTTGACTCCCTCCACCTGAGCTCTGAAAGGTGATTGGAGGATAATACAGCATAAACCTGTATCATTAACATCTCAGGATTAAGTTATGTGGATGTTGCTTTCATGGAAAGAAGACACTACCTTTTTATCTTTTTTGAATGAAACTCACATGGAAGTAGTTATGGAGGTATTTTATGTTTGGAATGTTAGCACTTATTCCTTTAGCATGCTTATTATGTTCATATTTCTAATAAAGAAGAAGACCCATTCTTTAAATGTTGAATAGAGCTGGTCTTTGAGAGAGAAAGTGGCTTCCTTGGTAGGAAATACAAGTAAAAACTTCCAAGAGTTTTCAAACTCTGCTTCAAAACTGTGAAAGTGAGTATTTATCACATAGAGTAAAAGTATTCTAGCCATGTTGCATTAAAGTAGCATGTTTGAAGGCCTAATACTTGGTTCCTTGAATCCTCAAGCTAAGTAATAGCTAAATCAGAAATGCAAAACATCTGAGAAAATAATTTACCTAGTAAATAAAAGTAGTAATATCCTCTCCAAAGTCTCCACAAAGACCTCCAACAGTACAGGAGAGAAGGGGAAGGCAAAATTATTGGTAGTCAGACTGAAAAAATAATTAACATTGTTTCTCACTCTTTTGGAAGGTTTTGAATTGCACACCACCAAATGTAGTTTTATAAAAGGTGCTAGTTGGTGATAGTGGTAGTGCAGTCAACTGCTAGTAACACTCCCCTTAAGACATACTGATTCCATATCCTATTCCTATTACTGCATTGGAGCCAAAACCGAGGTGCACAGACTGTCGGTGTGGAATGAACAATAGACCCTGAAAGCTAGTGTAAGGATAATACATTCATTTTGCACATTATTTTATTGATAATTTGTCGCACTTCTAGATGGTATTACATACTTACTGATCATTCTACTTTATTCTTTTTCTCTTTTCAACAGGGAGAAAAGGAATCTGCCGTTTACTCCTATTCTGGCATCTGTTAATCGCCTTGTTTGTTACCACCTAGGAACAGTAGCAAAGGGGTCTTTCATTATCACGCTTGTGAAGATACCACGAATGATTCTTATGTATATTCATACACAACTCAAAGGAAAAGTAAGAGAAATAGTTTCCATTTTATTACTGAAACTCAAGGCCTGCTGTGTTTGCAGCTAATTTAATTTAATGTATGTGGGAGGCTGGAAGTCCTGTCTTGGAATATTTGGTCTTTAAAGGACTGTGGGACTAAGAGGGACTGCTTGAGTTACCAAGCTGAGTATCAGTTGCTGAAACACGAAGGAATGTTGTTTTCATAAAATCTGTTGGTTTTACTCTTTGTTTTCTCACACTCTGTGCTTTCCTAGGAAAATGCTTGTGCTCGCTGTATGCTTAAAGCCTGCATCTGCTGCCTTTGGTGTCTAGAAAAGTGCCTGACCTACTTAAATCAGGTAAGATTTTAAATCTTAAAGTTTTATATAAGGGCTGATAATATATATGTTCCCACTATGCAATCTGAGAGTGACACATAATGTATCATACTTTGGAACTGAAGTTTGAATCACAGTACTTCAGTTTTGTCTCCATTACTGAAATTACACTGCAAATCACTAAATTAGCCTTTGTTTACATTGTAAATGTGTAAAATAATCGATGTTCATATTTGTGAACATGATATCTCAACTTTATAACAATTCTTTCAGTGGTTGGAGATATTCCTCCTTATGTCCACTCTTGTCAGACTACATCTGAGTTTCAAAGTATGTTTGCAAAAAAAGTGAGCTTTTCTAGGTGTGATATTTAAGGTCCCCACAATTGAAAAACTGTACATAAAATCAAATTGTCATTATCATCTAGAAAGTGGAAAGAAGAATTGCAAGCTGCAACACACTGGCTGGGTAGACCCTTTTGTAGAATAGGTTTTGTTGGCCTGTGGTTCCACCTCTGTTAAGTATGTCTGTAAATATCTCTCTAATATTTTTTTTACTGTTGACTTTTTTGCTTGTGAAAATATAGGAAATAAAATCTGAAGAAAGCATTTTAAAAAACCCAGTGTAATCCTTGAAAATTGTTTTGACTAATCTCGAAAGCAGTCTAGTGAAGTATCTGGCAATTGTCTTGGTGGATTTACGAGACTCTCAAACTCTCATATTTCCAGAGTATTTTTCCTAACTACTTAATTGCTGTAGTTATGCCACTGCTCACCTCCTCCTGCAGAGAAACTGCAAATTCTGTTTAATTAGGTTTTTGGAATAAATTTGTTAATGCATAAATGATGAGCAAAGGAGGAGAAGAATTGTAATTCTCTACCTTGTGTAGTTTTTTGTCTGCTGGTACATTCTGCTTGATTCAACAACTCTCTAGGCAATCTTTGTTCATTAATGTCATATGACGTATGTGACTTATTCAGAAGGCATATCTTCCCACTCCCCTCCCTACTCCCCCATCTGAAATACCTGATCATTCCAGGAATAAATCTTCCTTCTCCTTTTCCCAGAACGCATATACAGCCACAGCTATCAACAGCACCAACTTCTGCACGTCCGCAAAGGATGCCTTTGTTATTCTAGTGGAAAATGCTTTGCGAGTGGCTGCCATAAACACAGTTGGGGATTTTATGCTGTTTCTAGGAAAGGTATGTCGGCTGTATATAGTTGTTACAAAGCTACATAATAGCAAGCTTTCCTTAACAATGGCTTGTGCCCCCAGTACAAAATGACTTAAAATTCCTGTTTCTTAGCATGCACTTTATCGTATCTAGCTGCATCATATCAGGAAAGGACTGTCCAGAATAGGGAGGATAAACAGATAATCTACTTACATTAATTAAAGGTGATTAGAAAAGAATAGCTGAAGGTGATAACACTTTTTGCATTGATGTATTTTTAGGGAGTCAAGGGAAAAGTGATTAGGAGTTCTAAGTTTTTGATTGATATCGTGGTTAAAACCTAGAATTGTAAGAAAAGGAGGCATTTCCTCTAAATTCTGTTCAGTAAGGGCTCTCCAGGTTCATGTTGAAAATTGGCACATTATTAATCACCATTTATGACAAAATTAGACTGGAAGGAAGTACAGAAGCCTGCAAGGAGGAGCTGCCAGCTTAAGCAACTAAGTTACCTCTACTCTGAAAATTGGAAGGAGACTAGAATAATAACTGTGATCAGTCAGCTTTTTGGATCTCCAATTGATGGAGATATACTTTATGGAAACTTAATCCAGTGAATTTTGCCTATCCTTTGAAGGATTTGGGGCCATTATTTACTAAAACAATTAATACCAATCCACTGAAATCAGCTGTGCCTAAGCACTTGAATGCTGGTTGAACTGAACTGTCTTCCTTATTACATTCTTCTGCTTTTATTAAGTCACAGTACAGTGCACTGAATTTTTAATCCACTAATTCAGTCAGTAAGACGTGAAAAGAAATAAGCATATAATGAAGATGTAGGTGCATGGAAGTCCATAAAATTACTTAACGAGGTTTTATGGAGAAATCTGAAAGGTGTCAGGAAACATCACTCTGTAAAGATGTCTTTCAAATTATTAGAGAATTACACAGGTGACAGAAATGTTAAAATGAATAGTGCAACATGGAAAAGATAGTACCGGCTAGAACAGTGCTAGGCTGCCAGCCTGTCTCCTATACCAGTCCAAACTGGTATTTCCATCATAAAGCTGACCTATTTTGCAATTTAGCGTTTAGCTGCGATCCATAATAATAGGTTCAGAAATGTTTAAAATGTTGAGTGGCCATAACGATTGCTTTAGTGCTTTTGTTATTCCCAAAGACCAAACCTGGTACCCTGTAAAATATCTCTTGGGGCCTCACACATAGTGTATCTCTGTGGTGACTGTTACATGAAGTGTCTCACATGGATTCTGATATACTTTCCTCTGTATGGAGACAAGGCTGAGGTAAGACGAGCTTGAAGTTATTTCCAGCAGCAAAATGAAAACCGTGCCATCCTCCTAAGACCTACCTTCTTCCCACCGCTGCCAACCAAAAAAACAATTGCATGTTAGTTGATCAGCAGCATCAGGGTTCTGGGGTTTTTATAACTGACAGGATAAAGCTCTTTTTTACGGGAATATTCTATACCACTAGAACTATGAAAGCAGGATATAAATGTAATTTGCTCTGAAAAACACCTTTTCTGTTGAATGATGTGTTTAAAACTATTCTGATCTGCATGTGCTGGACTAATGGGTAAAATACTGTTTCCACTTCAGGGGAATCCAGAACGTGAAGATGTTGTTACTACTACCATCTGTAACCTCTGATTCTAGCCCTGGCAGAGAAAGAAGCACATAGGTTAAAAAGACCATATCAAACCAATCCAAATCAAAAATACCAAAAACCTTCTGCTGTTAGAGTGGTTTTCTGTTTTCTTCTTCAGGTCCTGATTGTCTGCAGTACAGGTTTGGCCGGGATTATGTTGCTGAATTACCAACAAGATTATACCATCTGGGTGCTGCCGCTCATCATTGTCTGCCTCTTTGCATTCCTGGTTGCTCACTGCTTCCTTTCCATTTATGAAATGGTTGTTGATGTCCTTTTCTTATGTTTTGCCATCGATACAAAATACAATGATGGGAGCCCTGGAAGGGAATTCTACATGGATAAAGTTCTTATGGTAAGTTTCCCCTTATTCTCTAAGTCTAAGGATATGGCTCCATAAAATGGGTATTTTGACAGTGGAATGAACTCACTAGCTGAGATTAATACGGTAATTGTTTTTGGTTTTACCTGGGTTACCTTGCTGTCTTGTTCATAGCTTGATTAGCAAACAGTGTAATCTGATGTGTAATCTGTTATCTGGTAAGTAATGATGTTTCCTTCCCTTGGCATCACTGATATTGGCTTCTATTTTGGGTGAAAAAAATATCAGAGTATTCTACGCTGTGCAGATAGTGACCACGTGGGAGTTTTTCTTCTTTCAGCTAGACAGCAACAAGAATTTGACTCTGTCATGCATAGAAACAACAGATTTTATGTTCTGTCCTGGAGCTTAGATGCTATGTCAAGGCCCTTTGCACAGTTCACTTCTTATTTGTTTGTTCCATGTTATTCCCAGTTCACTCTAGCTAGAGACCAAGATGTGCACATTCTGCTCCTCAAGCCCTTCAGTTGTTTTGAGTAGGTAATTTTCTTGACAGTGTTTTTAAGTGGCAACCATAAATTAGGTCCCTGTAAAATGTACCCCCATGTGTAAGCTACAGAGGCTCTCATGACTTCTTACCGTAATTTTTTTTCTGATTACTTGTTGGAAAAACCATGCCAAGAATTTAACATTAAATTTTTGGTAAACAACTACAGAATCTGGAGTATATAATAAATAAAACAGTAGCTGATGAGTTGTGTTTTAGCACAGAATAAATGCTAAAATGCAGCATGCTTTCTCAAGACAGCACAGATAAATCATAAAAGCATTGTGGGTTTCTTTAGCCAGCAGTCGATGTCACAAAATACAAGCAGCTAAAGTTTACTGACATTTGCTACAGAATGCTTACCTTTAAGAGAAAAAAAAACATAAAATTGAATTAGCACTTTTGCTAGCCTTCATGAATAAGTGATTGTGATCAGGTGAAAATTTTTAAGAAATTGAATTGAGGGAAGTTAGGGAAATTAACAAGACCTTGCAGGTAATTATCTCCAAATGCCTCTGTTTAATGGAGTTGGAACATTACACACAGTTAACAGGATAGGCTGTAATAACTGAGATTTCTGGGTTTGGTTTTCTTTTGTTGTTGTTGTTTTTGGGTTTTTTTTGACAACTGCCCTTCTACCTTCCCTGTAAAGGAGAGCATCATGTGGTAACAGCACACAAGGCAATGGCTTCCAGAGTTAGATGAGAGAGACCCTTGTTGCTATTTGGCAGGCAGGATCAAAAAGATTCTTTGTGGAGAAGTCTGAGCAGGAGAAGTGGGAGGAGCAAGTTGTGTTGACACTTTGAGCAGTTACATCTTGCAGTTTTGTCTTGAGATTTGGTATTTGGAGCCTTCACTAAGAAAGCACTTTTCACTTCATTACTGTTTTTCAGGAGTTTGTGGAGAATAGTAGAAAATCTATGAAAGAAGCTGGCCGGGGAGGTGGAGCTGAGAGCAGAGAGCTAAAATCAATGGTAGGTGCAGATGAGGAGGTGGCGATCCTCCAAGAGTTTCACTTTTACTTCTTCTCCCTCTTTGTCTTTACTGACTGCACTTCTTCAGGAGAAGTTTTTGTTCTCTGTATCACTCAAGATGTTCTGCTTTTTCTGTTTGTGAGCTTGCCTATCACCTGGATGGCAGAGTTTTTGTCACAGCTAAGACCATCTCCTGTAAAAGTAAGATGAAAGGAACTGTGTCACATGAAACAAATGCAGTATCATTCATTAGGATTAGTGATGCATGCTAAGTGGTATACACAGACAGCCCCAGTTGCTGAGTACTTTCAAAATAAGATGGCTCTGGAATTCATTTGGCTTCAGTCCTCTTTTTCAGCCCTGAGCTGAACAATTTTTGTTCATCTCACATTCACCGGAAAAGCCTGAAGGACACTACTGAGCACATCCATTGTTGCAAAGTAGGACCAGGCATCTAAAGCTCTCACCAAATTATTTTATACAGTGCCAAGGAATTGGATACAGTGATTCCTTTCAACCTGCTCAAATGACATTTCTCCCAGTTGTTTGTTTTTATTGCCAACTACTTATGTTGCTTGTCTCTTGTGTGCTCTTTCCATCTCACACTGTCAGATACACAGACAGTGAACAATGCATCATTTATGCTTTTGCAGCCTGTTTTACTTATGGTGTGCCTGTTAGGAAGGCATTGCATGTCTGAGTAGCCTGGAATAAGGAACAGCTATACATGGTACTGATAACGGATAGGAGGATGAGTTTGGAAGGTGGAGAACTGAGAGCGTATGATGGAGGCCAGGCTGGGCAAGGTATGACTTGTCATCGTGCAATATGACTTTGTGAAATAAAATATTTTTCCATCATAACTTTCTCAGAGTATTTGGGGCCTAATACATTTCATTACCATGGGGAGAATTTTTTAACATAATGGAATCTAAATAAGTGTATGCTAACAGTAGAAATTTTTTTTTCAATGATGTATGTGAAGCCACGTTGCATGAGCACTTTTTGACCAAGCTGGAATGGATTCATGCTGTAGAGTGGATAGATGTGTATGTAGCTTTGTGTGTCCTGCTATTTCATTATAACCTACCAGTTTCTAGATTTGCTTATGCCTAAATGCTGCTGTGTTTATACATCTAAAAAACTAATTCTATGCTCATTTACCTTTCTCTTCTGGGAGTAATTCTAGCTGTTCAGACAGACACTAACAGTGGAATTTTCAGAGTGGTCTAAATGCTGTAGATGTAAAGCTGCTGTTAAAAAGATTCAGAATTGGGTGTGCAAACCCTCTAGTCACATGCTCAAAAAATCTCAGTGCAAAACTTTATTATGTTAACCTCTAATTCAAACACCTGGGTTACCTTAAGCAGTTTTCCACTTAATGCTGTTATCAGTGCTAGCACTGACCACTACTTATACTTCTGTACTTGACTGCCTAAAGCTTGGATTTCAAAACCTTTATTCACACCCCCATTGTAAAAGGGCAAACCAAGTACTTGCAAGGCAAGGATGGTCTTGTCTTGTTCTTCCAGGAATTTGACTCGGAAGCGCTTGAGACTGGCAATGTTGGAAGTCCTAGGACTGCTGGAAAGCACTTGGGGCTCAGCCTGAGTGTCGTTAGCTGAATTACTCCCAGTTCTGCTGCTCGTGTGATACTCTTGTTTGGAACTGAGGAGGTCTTGTTTTCTCAAATAGTCTTCCATTTTTGGGTGTTCAGCTCCAGTTGAATAGATTCTGAAATACTAGGATCTCACTTCCTGACAAGGATGGGACACAGCAGTTACATCCATGAGATTTCTGATACCTTTCCCCAACGCATTGATAAAGGCCTCAGTTACATCTGGAATAGCATCATTCATAAGTCTATTCTGTACTCGTAGCACCTATAGTCACAAAATTAGAATAATTTTTCCTTTTTTTTCCTTCTCCTTTAAAAATAGAATCTTTACTTTTTGGCTTCAGTATCCTTGAAATGCAGATATTTCTTAGGCAGGACAACTAGTTCTAAAAGTGAAATGCCCACAGTGCAGTTGTATTTTAAATAGGTATTAATAGCAGAGATGAGGAAACATTTAGGAACTTCTGTTCTTTTATAAAAGCTCAAGGAAAAAAAAAAAAGAAACACCTTTTCATACTTATTTCTTTATGTTTTCCAGTGACCCCTTTGACTCAGTTTCTCCTTGTCCTTTGGCATTTATCTAAGACTGTACTATATGACTTTGTTTTCTAGGCCT